AATAATTATAATACAAATAATAGCAAAAATAATAATGATTATAATAATAATAATAATATAATAATAACAATAATAATAATAATAATTAATAATATTTTATCTAAGCAGTTACAGTTTTCTTGATTAGAGTTTGCATCGTTGTATAAAATGTACTTGTTGTGCGAATTTATGATCGATTTCACACTTGGCATACAACTGTAGCTAACTTTGACTGTGTTCCTGTTAAAGATTTTATGTAGTTTGTTATTATTAGGAAAATGTTTGCCAATTAATTTCAAAAAACATTTTCCTACGTTGGTGCTAACATTTTTGCTAAATGGAGGATTAAACCAAATGATGTTGCGTGCTCTGTTCCGTTTTTTAGTTGATATTGCTTTAGGATTATATGTTAGATTACATTTAAAACCAGACTTTAATAAAGCCTCATTATATAGAGGAACAGCCTGTTGAAATATTTCTTTGGTAGAAGAATTTGTAGATAATCTAAGTTCAACCGAGTGTGGTATTTGTTTTAGTATACTTGGAGGGTGATTTGAATCAGCATGGATATAATTTAATGTATTATCAGGTTTGAGATAAGGTTTAAAGGTGCACTCACTAAGATTTAGAGTGACGTCGAGGTAGTTGACAATTTTCATGTTGCATTGTATAGAAATCCGTAAGCCATTGTATTTAAATATTTCGGAAAGATGCTTTTTTATTTTTTCCATTTGAGGGCCGCTTTTATTCCTAAAAACTGCTAATCCATCATCATGGTATAAACCAACCTCAAACTTGTTATAAAATTTTGAAATTTCGAAAAGAAGAAATATTCCTACAAGCTCACAAACCTCCACGCCGTCAAAAGCTCAAGTCAAGAAATGCTAGCTTTTGAGAACGAACTCATTGATCTTGTAAAACACATTAAGTTTCGAAAGGTACAAAGCAATTTTCAAAATAAACTAAAACAAGATATAAACATTATTCGAAAATCTAATCAAACTTATACGTATGCTGATTAAAAATCTAATCTTTACAAATTATCTAAAAATGATTACAACCACTTGTTAAGAAATGCCATCACTTCAAATTACAAATTATCTAACTCAAATGTAATAAATAAAGTAAACATAGAAGGTAAACGTCTTTTGAAAAATCATGAAGTTTTCGATAAAATTGATATTAATACAGCTTCCAATTGTTTTATCACCTTAAAAGACCATAAAGATAACTTTGAAAACAATCCGACTGTCCGTTTATTAAATCCTGCTAAAAATTGGAAGAATTACCAAGGATATTCTTTCTAAAATTAATACAGAACTAAGAAGTATATTACAATTAAACCAATGGAAAAACACTCGAAATGTTATCGATTGGTTTAAAGCCATAAAAGACAAACACTTTTATAAATTTTTAATTTTTGATATCATTGACTTCTACCCTTCTATTAATGAAACACTTCTAAAAAACTCTATCAAATTTGCAGAGCAACACTTAACACTAAATAAAGAGAATATATCGTTAATTTTTCATGCAAGAAAGTCTTTGCTTTTCAATAATAATCAGGTTTGGATAAAGCAATCAAGTGGTTTATTTGATGTTTCCATGGGAGCTTTTGACGGCGCGGAGGTTTGTGAGCTTGTAGGAATATTTCTTCTTTTCGAAATTTCAAAATTTTATAACAAGTTTGAGGTTGGTTTATACCGTGATGATGGATTAGCAGTTTTTAGGAATAAAAGCGGCCCTCAAATGGAAAAAATAAAAAAGCATCTTTCCGAAATATTTAAATACAATGGCTTACGGATTTCTATACAATGCAACATGAAAATTGTCAACTACCTCGACGTCACTCTAAATCTTAGTGAGTGCACCTTTAAACCTTATCTCAAACCTGATAATACATTAAATTATATCCATGCTGATTCAAATCACCCTCCAAGTATACTAAAACAAATACCACACTCGGTTGAACTTAGATTATCTACAAATTCTTCTACCAAAGAAATATTTCAACAGGCTGTTCCTCTATATAATGAGGCTTTATTAAAGTCTGGTTTTAAATGTAATCTAACATATAATCCTAAAGCAATATCAACTAAAAAACGGAACAGAGCACGCAACATCATTTGGTTTAATCCTCCATTTAGCAAAAATGTTAGCACCAACGTAGGAAAATGTTTTTTGAAATTAATTGGCAAACATTTTCCTAATAATAACAAACTACATAAAATCTTTAACAGGAACACAGTCAAAGTTAGCTACAGTTGTATGCCAAGTGTGAAATCGATCATAAATTCGCACAACAAGTACATTTTATACAACGATGCAAACTCTAATCAAGAAAACTGTAACTGCTTAGATAAAATATTATTAATTATTATTATTATTATTGTTATTATTATATTATTATTATTATTATAATCATTATTATTTTTGCTGTTATTTGTATTATAATTATTTGACGTCAGAACTCATTCCATTGTTTTTTTGAATTTTGTAACGGTTTTTTAATTGTATTTTT